TTACATATCGTAATCCATCTAACCAGGTTGCTAAAATTCTATCACCAATATTTTGAATATTAATTAAATTATTAAAAAGAATCCATTCGATTACATCTTCATATTTCGTAGCTTTAAGCTGAAATTCTTTAATGCAATCGTCAATATCTTTATTTCCACTTGTCCATCCCTGTGTTGTCTTCGGAGGGTCGCATGTTTGACACCAAGCCTCAGATGTGTTATATCGGTGGCAATTTGCACATTGTCCATACTTATAATTTCTTTTAGAACTAAATTTATCATATTCAGTAAATACTAAAATATAATCATTTGTGATGGTGCTTTGAGTTAATCCACAAATATTTATACGCTCTATTTGACACTCCGATAATACATAATTTTTAAACTGTAAAATATATAAAAGATATAAAAAAAACTCGTACAGCAACCCCCCCAAAATTTTCCGCATTCCGCTAATGCTCCGATTTATTGTAATTACGTTATTGATTTTTCGATGATGCTTATTAATTAAATGAATCGATTTATAATTAAATGAATCGATTAATATTTTAATTGCAATAAAAATTTTCTCTTGTTACTTAAGTTTATAATGCAAACTTGTAGTAGTTGTAAAAATGATTTTCCAGAATCTGCTTTTACTGCGCTTTTCAAATTACTGTGTTCATCAGATGATCGCCCATCACACGAAAATCAGGAGATTTTTTTTAAATTCTTACTTTTTTACAAATTTCTACTTAAATAATGACAATTCCAAAGATTCCCCTTCACATTCCAATTCTTTAGTAAAACATCCATTAGTATTCTAAATTTTTTGATTACTGAACCAGGCAATAATAAAAATTTTTAACTTTCTTTTTGTGAATTTTAATGATTTCCATTGTATTCTAATTTTTTTTATAATAAACTGCATGTTAGACTTTTAGTTTGTTAACCAAGCAATAATAAAATTTTCAGTTTTTTTACTAGTTGAACAGGCAATAATGAAATTTATTATTATTTTTTTTTATAAATTTATATAATAAAATTAACACTATTATATAATTTAAAATGTCACGTCCTTTTAGTGAAGACCTCAAGTGGCGCATAGTTTACTTGTGCTACGATGGTTACTCAAAAAAAGAAATTGCATCCACTCTATATCTAAGTGTAACATTGGTAAATAAAGTTCTAAGAATCTACCAAAAATAGGGAACGGTTGTTCATCCATGGCGCCAAATTCCCGGACCCCGAAAAACTTTTGATCGAAACGATATGAATGTATGCATATCTTTATTTTGTTTTATAATAATCACAGTATATATTTATTATTAACAATTTTTAATATTTATATAATTTAGATTTTGCAACAAATTGTTAGGGAGAAAGTTGATTGGTACCTGGATAAGCTCGTTTATGAGATGGAATGATATACTGGAAAGTCTGTATCAATCCCAACACTATGGAGATCTTTGGCGTACTGCGGCATTACATGAAAAAAAGTTTTTTTTTTTTTCTTTTTAGGTTTTAATATTTAAGTTATACTGTATAATTTATATATTTTTATTGAATAGCTTCAAAAAGATGCCAAGAAATGAAATGAGCTTGTGCGAAGTGCTTTTATGGCACGTATTGGTGCCTAATATCAGCCTGAACAACTAATTTTTTTGGATGAATCCTCTAGAGATGAACGTACTATAACGAGGGGTTATGGATATTCTGAAGTAGATACTAGAGCAAGAAAAAAGGTGTTATTTGTATGTGAAGTAAGGTACACAGTTTGTCCAGCCTTAACTCTACAAGGAATAATTGTCGCAGATATTGTAGAGGGCAATTATACAAAAATTAAATTTAAAGATTTTGTTATAAATCAAGTCGTACGTATGCATTATCCTAATTGTACATATTCAAAGATTTTTTTTTGTAATTATTTACTAACTATTTTTGTAAATATAACTTAGTTACCACAAATGAATTCGTATCCGCATAACAATAGCATTTTAGTTATGGATAATGCGCGAATACATCACGATGATGGATTGTGTGAATATTTGGATGCATTTGGAGTGCGCATAGAGTTTCTTCCACCTTACTCACCTGACCTTAACCCAATCGAGTTAGCATTTTCTTCAATTAAAAGTTACTTGAAACGGTATCGTTATTTTGTTGAAAATTCTGATACAAAATATTCACTATTAGTTGTGTGTGCACAAATTACGCTGGAAATAGCAAAAAGTTTTTATGAGGCTTCGGGTTATAAGTAATATAATACTCGTTATAAAGAAGACTCACCTTTTTTTTTTACTTTTTTTTGTTAGTGACTAAGATAGGTTTAGATGCTATTTTTTTTTCTTATTTTACTGTATTTGCCCCATTAGACTGTCAATAATTCATAATCTGATTGGTATTATAAATTTTCACATAATATATTTCTGCAAAGTTTGCTCAAGTATTTTTCAATAAGACAAATTTTATCAAGCTTTTAAATAATGAATTAAAGGAAGAAATTTTAAAAAAATTTTTTAAGGCTTAGAAATTTTCGTTAGACTATTACTGTAAGTAGAAGGTTTTACTGTAAGCAATTTCAGACTTATTAAGACAGATTATTAGATAACTTTCTGAAATAAATTTTACTAAAATACCATTTTGCTGAAATTATATACTAACAAGATATAATTCCGAAAGTCTCATTTACCTTTTTTTCATCCTTCTTGGTAAACATATAAATAATTTCACAGATCTTTACAATCTAATAAATAATAAATTTTACTACATAGTAAGTTATTTATCTGCAATTTCCATTTCACTAAATATGAATATCTATTTTACTTACCGGTACATGCTATTTTTCGAATAGTATATTTTTCTAACATCTTATTTCTTTGAAAATATATTGCTGAAAGCTCTTTTACCGAAGGATGTTTTACCGAATTTGCAGCTATTTTTATAAAAAATGCTGGGTTATTTGATAACCTGAAAAGAGGTATAAACTAATTTGTTGCCACTAACAGCTATTTAATCAGCAAAGTTAGCCTTGTTTTTCAAAAAAATATTTATTAGTGAAAAGGCTTCAAAAAAATTTTGACTGGGAACAGAGTTCGAAGAATTGTGCTGAGAAAAAAAAATTTGGTAAAAATTTCTATTAGCAAATATACTGACAGAAATGTCTTGTCGAAAAAAGGAATATCGAAATTATGGGTCAGAAAATTAGTACGTATTTCAGGAAGGTACATAGGTTTCAGGAAAGTTAGGTGATCAACAATTAAGACTTGGTTTCACAATAAGATACAATATGTAATACATTAAAAAAAGATTTGAAATAAAAATAAGCGAAGAGAATATTACAATATAATATATATATATATAGCTAGACAAAGCTACTTATATGCATAACTTGTATTTATTTTTCTACTTTATATTGTTCGCATGCTAATTTTCTTTATTATATACATACTAATAATTGTTACTTAACATATTTATTGTATAAATCATTTTGAAATACGTATATATTGAAATGTTCAAAAAACTATTTCTCCGCCATTATAACCAAAAATTATAATTTTTGATACTTTTCAACATATTCACAAAGAGTTTGTCGTTCGCCAATAGTCTCTACTCCACATAGTGCAAATTCCTCATCTGTTAGTCTTTTTAATCGTTTTACTAAAATTCGTTGTGCATTAAATTTTTCCAAAAAGCTTTGATAATGATCGCCAGTTTCTTCTTCTTCTACTACTTCTTTTAGAAATTCTGCCATAGTAGGTAAAGTAAAAGAGACATATGGGTTAGATTGAATAATATGAGACTGTGTTGAAATATGAGGCAATGTTTGATACGGATTATATAAAGTTGGTTAATACGATTGAAATTGTTGAGCTCCAAAAGCCCAATTGTATTGTGGCGCTGATAGTGATGGTAGAAATGATTGTTGTAATGAAAATGGTGATAAAATTAGTTGGGAATGTCCTTGTGGTAATGGTTGTAATAGTTGTACTTGTGATAGTGGTGGCGATTGTTGTAATAGTTGCATTTGTGGTGATTGTTGTATTTGCGATAGTGGAAGTGATTGTTGTAGTAGTCATATTTGCGATAGTTGCATAAGTTGTGCTTGTGGTGATTTTTGTACTTGCGATAGTGATTGTTGTAGTAGTTGTACTTGCGATGGTGGTTGCATAAGTTGTGCTTGTGGTGATTGTTGTACTTGATATGGCAATTGTTGTGATAGTTGTACTTGAGGTTGTACTTGAGGTAGCGATTGTTGTAGTTGCATAAGTTGTGCTTGTGGTGATTGTGACAATTGTACATCCGGTGACAGTGGTTGCACTTGCGGTAATAGTAAAGGTGGTAAAACCAGTAGCATTTGTGGTGATGATGTAGATGGTAATTTTGAGCGTAGCTTTTTTGATGATAAACTAGCATAGGAAAAAAGAGGATGTGTTAGAGGATTTTCGACTGTAGCTAGCTCTTTGTTCTAAAAGTATGCCGGTATATAAATAAAGTTTAATCAATATAATTTATTATATATTATGTAAATATCGATATAGTAATACCATTCGGATGCCCGGGTCGAAAGCATCATAAATGTAATCTCAACATGCAAATCTTTGTGATTTTCTTTATTAAGGCAGAGACGATTATGCACATTACAGTGATATGCATTTCTAATTGTTAACACGTTTTTGGCAATTTCTTTGTCTTGTGCAGATAAAGATGAAACACTTGGGACTCGATTATTGTTCTTGTAATTGTTGGATCGTTCAGTATTTTCTTCATGTTCACCTAAGTCTGATTCCTGCAAAATTGTATTATAATTTATGATATAATCGATACGTACCAAATTATTGAACAAATTTATGTAAATAGTAGTATTCACATACAGAATAATACAAATAAACATGCATATTTGTGTACATATGTACGTACGCACGTATGTATTTACCTTTTTTTTTTGCTTATTTTGAGAAGTAATAGATAGTTGTGAAATTGTAACATAAATCCCAATATCACTTTTTCTAGCAGCTAATTTTGTATATTCGGATTTGAACTTGATGAAATCTTGTTCATTGACCAACTGAGTGCCGGCACCTGTCTCTCTTTGTGTTTTGAATGTCATAAAGTAATCACTTGGCATAATAGTATTATCCTTGGTCATCAAGTTAATTTTATTGTGAACAGATAAAAGAAATTCATCAACTGTTGATACGGATTCTTGGAACCATTTAGCAGGTAATGAAATTTCATCAGCTGTTTTAACAAATAATTTGTAAGCTAATGCAAACTCGGATTCATCATCTTCTTCACTACTCATTTCATTTTCGTTGATTCTATCTTCACTTGCTGCAATGGATATTGAAGGAGAAGGTGACCTAGTTGTTTTCTATAAATAAAAGATTAATAAATTAGATAATTATAATAAAAGATTATATTACACGTACATTACTATCAATTTTATTCTTTGTCACTTTTTTTTTAGCCTTGGAATTCAATTTCACCAAAACATTGTGGCATCGTCCACAAAGAGAAAACCGAAAAGTTTTTTTCACATTTATTTGGTAATTATATTCCATAACTTTTCCATAAATATATTCATACATGGGTGCTACCCAGGTAGGTTCAAAGATGCATGTATATGCTTGTTTCATTAAATCAGTTCGATTTTTTTTTGTGGGCACTAAGGATAATTTACATTTACAAGTAGTATTTCTCAAATCAACTGCGCAATATAGACACTTTCGACACCCAAAACAGGTGCCACGATAATATCTAAGTTTGGTGTTGGCTGCATCTGCCATTATAAGTATTGTTTGATCGATTAGGAAAAAGAAAAATTTTTTTTACTGCTTTGGGAATTTTTTTTTTTTATACTTGCTTTTGATACTATATTAGTCATATAACTGATAAATTAATTTATCAATTTCTTTATTTATTAGTTAAAAAATTAGTGCATACATGTGTAATATACAGTGTTGTTTAAAATTTAAATTAGAATTCCAGATTCCCAGATTCCTGTGTGATGTGTGATACATGAAATTTGATGAACACAGTAATTTGAAAAGCGCAGTAAAAAAATCAAAAATAATTTATCAAAAACTTGTATTTAGTGTTTGAATAAATGAAATAATAAAAACCATAAAATTCAAAAATTAAAAAAAGTTTTACAAAACAATGAATTTAACAATAATAACTTTGATATTGAATTGGTCGAAATTAATATTGACCAATTGTCACAATTCATTGAAGAATTTGTTGCTGCAGAAAATCAAGAATTTGAATTAAATGTCTTATTTGATATTAATGGAGAAATGAATTCGGTTTCTCAAGTTGCTAAAAAATTACATGAAATTATTGAAAATAGTGACGGTTATAAATGGAAGTAAGTTTTAATTTATTAAATATATAATTTTAAGAATTTTAAAATTTTAAGAATTTTAAAATTTTAAAATTTAAAATTTTTAGTTTTTGGAAAACCAATTATTCAACTTGCTTACCTGATCAAAGAGGAACAATTTATTATTACTGCAGTCAATCTGCAATTTTAAATGATTTTAAGGATTCTAATAGAAAACAAATGTTAAGATTCGAATGTAATGAGCAAATTATTATTTGTGTCAATATGATTGATTCTAAAGCTTATATCAAGTGTAAACACCTGTTTAATCATGAGCAACCTGCTATATCTACTGGTGTTCCAAAAGAAATAATTACTGAAATACAACAAAATTGTCATCTTGATCCTTTACAACTTCATTTTTATTTATCAGCATATTTTGATTTAAAGGATATTACGTCTAAACAAATTTATTATTGGTGGATTATTTCAATTCAATCAAAGTATCAAAAGCATAAAAATCCTATTCAATCTGCTATTCTTTTACTTCAAGAACAATTTCAAAATTGTCAATTATTAATATCAATTAATAATAATACTTTGACTGCAATTGCTTTTTCAACACCAAATTTTCAATATCTAAAAAGTGTTAAAGAAATTCATATTGATGCAACATATAAAACATCGAAGGGGCATTTTGAGTTATATGGAATTATTGGAGAATATCAAGGAACAGGATTTGCTTTAGGTTATCTAATTTTAGATATTCAAACTAATAATGGATTAGAATTATCTAAATCAGAAATTTTAACTTAATTTTTATTAAAATTTCAAATTCTTGGTCTTATGCCCGATTTTATATTTACTGACAAAGATTTTACTATAATTAATGTAATAAAAAATGTATAGCCAAATAAGGATATTCAATTATGTCTCTGACATTTAAAAAGAGCTATACTTACAAAAATGAAATCAAGTAAAAAACAAGAACGATATAATTCATTTACAATTATGGATTTTCAATTATTTTCATTTATTGATTCAAATTTTATTCTACAAATATATCATACTGGAGTTATTTGTCCTATACAACATCAAAAACAAGTTTTGGATTTAATCGAATTTTACTTTAATTTACATCCACTAATTCCAATAAATCAAAATGGAGATTTTTTAACAAAAGAAGAAATATGGAAAAAGGCTGTTTATGAGATATATAACTTATGTTTCCAATTAAATAAGCCAAGATTTTGGAATTATCTTTATTTTTCATGGTATATTAAAAATCGATGAAATTTATGAGCAAGGAGTAATCATTTATCAATTCCTTTTGGTAAGACTAACATGCTAATAGAATCACATTGGAAAGTGATTAAACACGACTATTTGTATAGATTTAATTGTCCAAGAATTGATTATGTAATTTTTGTTCTTTGTGAAAAGTTAATTCCAACACAAAGTATTTGTTTTCATCAATTAGCTACAGGAAGAATAAGTCCTTATTGGTGGGAGGACTTTAAAAAGGATTGGAAAAAATATATTAAGCAAAATAATTCTAATGAAAGATATTATACCAATACGAACTATTGGATTTGTAGTTGTATGACATTTCTTAAAAATTGATTTTTGATTTGTAAGCACCTTATTCAGGCACTTAATAGTAACACATGTCGATTAATTTATAATGATTTTTATCGCAATTAGCAATATCCATTTTGGAGTATTAATGGATTAACAAATAGTACTGATAAAATCAATTATGAAGTCCAAGTGTTTGATGAGTCAAGTCTTTTTAATGTAATTGAAAGCGATAATGAAAATGATCTAAAATTAGATGAAATTAAAAAAAAAATTGAAAAACATGAATAATTTATTCAACATATTCGAGAAGAATATGAAGCAGGTAAAAAAATATTATTATATTTTATGTGAAAGTAAAATCCCGTAACTGTATTTATTGATTCATAATTAGTTACGGGTTTTACTTCCATGTATTTAAATTATAACCAATTAATAAATTTCGATATATTGTTTTTATACAAATATTTTAGGAAATGTTCGACATGTAGAAGCATTACTAAATGGGTCAAAAAGAATTTATACTATGATGGATGATATTCAAAAAGCACAAAACAAACGAGTTAGAGAATGTACATGGAAAGACTCAAAACCCCATACAATGTTTTTGTGATAAATAATTTTATATAGATTATACATAGAAACAATTATGATAGTTATTATTGCATATTAACTTTGAAGAATTATAATATTGCGGGCATATTAAAATTTAAATATTTGACAATATAGGTTTTATATTTTTGAAAAAAAAATATTGGACGCTTGGCACTTTAATAACATTTATATAATAATAAAAATGTTAATTAGCCACACATATACGTTTAAGTAAATTTCAATTTGAAAAATTGGTTAGATTTTTTAAAACAAATCCTCATTTTGCTCGTATTTATCAAACATGAATCAAAGAAATAAAACAGAATTTAATAATTGTACAATACGAAGTATTTTAGCAAAGAATTCAAAATTTATTTTCGATATTAAATATTTAACACAATAAATCAAGATTGATGATTTCGGGTATTAAAATAAAAATTCACATGAAATTAATCGGAGTATAGCGGAATGCGGAAAATTGTGGGGGGGTCGCTGTACGAGTTTAAAAAATTAAGTTATAATAATATGAGTGCTGCGGGCTTTCAAATTTATTGTTTAACTCTAACTTTATAAGTTTAATATACTAAAAACTAATTTAGTAACGTATTATCGCTATACGCGTTATCGTTATACGTGTCACTGATTAGAATGATTAGAAACAATAAACTTGAAAGTATAAAGTTTCATTTCCCTTAGCAGCACACGTAAATAGTATACGTAAGTAGAATAAGCATAGTCTTACTTCTTTTAAAACATTTACTAAATTTCGTGATTGAGGCAATATTTTAAGCTCCACTTTACACGATAGTGTACGTGACTGTCTATATTTATATGCATCTCCATGCACATATCGTATTCCATCTAACCAGGTTGCTAAAATTACATCGCCAATATTTTGAATATTAACTAATTTATTAAAAGGAATCCATTCGACTACATCTTCATAAGATGAAGCATTAAGTTGAAACTCCTTAATGCACTCGTCGATATCCTTATTTCCACTTGTCCATCCTTGTGTTGTCTTCTGAGGGTCGCATGTTTGGCACCAAGCGTAAGATGTGTTATATCGCTTGCAATTTGCACATTTTCCATTATCTTTGGATCTTTTTGAACAAAATTCATCAAATACCAACATATACTCATTTGTGACTGTATTTTGGGTTATTCCATAAATACTTATATCCTCTAATTGACCCAATTGACTCATTAAGTGCTATATTAAATATATTATAGATTATAGATTATAGAAGCATATACACATACAAATTAAGCATACAGATTAAATAAACTACATGTCTGATCTGATGTAATAAAATAAGATAAACTTACTTTTAAATTATTTGGTGTTTGTGTCAATATTTTAAGCTCCACTTTACATGATGGTATACGTGACTGTGTATATTCATTTATACAATTTACATAACGTATTCCATATAACGACGTTGCTGAAATTTTATCGGCAATGTTTTGAATATTAACTAAACTATTAAAAGGAATCCATTCGATCACGTCTTCATATTTCGTAGCTTTAAGTTGAAATTCTTTAATGCAATCGTCAATATCCTTATTTCCACTTGTCCATCCTTGTGTTGTCTTCTGAGGGTCGCATGTTTGGCACCAGGCTGGTGAAGTGTTATATTGCTTGCAATTTGCACATGTTCCATAACCATCATACCGCTTATAACCAAATTCATCAAATACCAACATATACTCTTTTGTTGTACTGTTTTGCGTTAGTCCATATACTTTAAGGTCATTACTCTTTAACTGTACATAATCTATAAACTTATTAAGCATGTAAACATACTGTATATTAAAATATATATATTGCGTCATATTAATTATATTAATTAATAAGTATTTTAACTTACTTCATTTAACTTATCTAATAAGCTTTGTGTTTTAGTTAATGCTTTAAGCTCCACTTTACACGATCGTATACGTGACTGTGTATATTTTTCATTATAATCATCATAATTTAGATATCGTATTCCATCTAACCAGGTTGCTAAAACCTTATCGCCAACATTTTGAATATAAACTAATCTATTAAAAGGAATCCATTCGATTACACTATGGTAAGATGTAGTCTTAAGTTGAAGTTCTTTAATGCAATCATCGATATCTTTATTCCCACTTGTCCATCCTTGTGTTGTCTTCCGAGGGTCGCATGTTTGGCACCAGGCTGGTGATGTGTTATTTCGCTTGCAATTTGCACATTTTCCTTTATAATCATCTCTTTCCTTATGAAATTCATCAAATACCAGCATATATTTATTTGTGATTGTATTTTGAGTTAATCCATAGATACTTCTATACAGTTTATACTCTGACGGACTATCTAATTGCACATGATTTTTAAACTTATAAAATACGTACATAAACAATATAAGTATAATCATAAGTATAAATTAAGTATATTAATTAAATAACGATAATAAAATGATATGAACTCACTTCTTTTAAAATATTTTGAATATCTGCTGTTCCTGTCAATACTTTAAGCTCCACTTTACATGATGGTAAACGTGGCTGTGTATATTCATAATCAAATTTAGAATTTAGATATCGTATTCCATCTAACCAGGTAGCTAAAAATCCATCCCCATTCTTTTGAATATTAACTAATCTATTAAAAGGAATCCACTCGATCACATCTTCATATTCTGTAGCTGTAAGTTGAATTTCTTTAATACAATTATCGACATCTTTATTCGCACTTGTCCATCCTTGTATTGTTTTCTGTGGGTCGCATGTTTGACACCATGCCAAAGATGTGTTATATCGCTTGCAATTTGCACATGTTCCATTATTTTTATTTCTTTTAGAACCAAATTCATCAAATACCAACATATACTCGTTTGTTGTGCTGTTTTGCGTTAGTCCATATACTTTAAGATCATTATTCTTTAACTGCACATAATCTATAAACTTATTAAGCATGTAAATATACTGTATATTAAAATAATGTATATATATTGCGTCATATTAATTAATAAATATTTATTAACTTACTTATCTAGTGAACTTTCTGTTTTAGTAAATATAATATACGCGACTGTATATATTCTTCATCATAATAATCAAGATTTACATATCGTATTCCATCTAACCAGGTTGCTAAAACTTTACTGCCAACATTTTGAATATAAACTAATCTATTAAAAGGAATCCATTCGATTACATTTTCGTATTTTGTAGCTTTAAGTTGAAATTCTTTAATCCAATCATCAATATCTTTATTCCCACTTGTCCATCCTTGTATTATCTTTTGAGGGTCGCATGCTTGACACCAAGCTTCAGATGTATTAGATCGGTTGCAACTTGTACATATTCCATAAATTACTGATCTTCTATTATAAAATTCATCAAATACCAACATATATTCATTTGTGATTGTATTTTGAGTTAATCCATAGACACCTATACACTGTTTATGCTCAAACTGACTATCTAATTGCATATGATTTTTAAACTTATAAAATGAATAGATAAACAATATAAGTATAAAAAATATAAGTATACTCATAAGTGTAATCATAAGTATTTTAATTAATTAACGATAATAAAATGATATGAACTCACTTCATTTAAAATATTTTGAATATCTGCTGTTCCTGTCAATATTTTAAGTGAAATTATGCTTGCCGGTGTGCGTGACTGTGTATATTTATATTCACTATGACTACCTTCATAATTTACATATCGTATTCCATCTAACCAGGTCGCTAAAAATCCATCACCATTCTTTTGAATATTAATTAATCTATTAAAAGGAATCCACTCGATCACATCTTCATATTCTGTAGCTGTAAGTTGAATTTCTTTAATACAATTATCGACATCTTTATTCGCACTTGTCCATCCTTGTATTGTCTTCTGAGGGTCGCATGTTTGACACCAACCACGAGATGTGTTATATCGCTTGCAGTTTGCACATTTCCCATATTCTTCATACCTATTAAAACTAAATTCATCAACCATAATTCTAAAATGTTACAAAGAAATTAATCATCGTTTGTAGTAACGTACGTACGTACATACATATCAGTCGGTCGATATGTCACGCAGTAAAAATTTTTAATAGTAAATCAAATGATCGACGCACCCAAATTTTGTAAGTATAATTCAAATAAAATTTGCTTTCTATAATTATTTAACAATAAAAGAAGTTGTCGGTTTAATTTCTAAGCATCATTTTACAGATTTTTTGGCATTTGAAGTGTCTTGTTTTGAAATTTCAAGGGTGGTTAAAAATAAATCAAAAAATAATCTTGACCACGAAGTTGGCCAATTTTTTTAAGTAATATATGTTGTTTACCCCAAATATGAGTAACGATAAACATTCAATTAATTGGCCGTTTATCATTACCTTTTTTGGGTATTTTTGGGTAAACAAATAAGATAGCTGCGTGACGTTGTCACGCGAAACCAGGAACGGGAGACGTGAGTATTGGTATTGTATTTAGTAAATATATAGCTTGTGCACTATTAGGCATGTAATGTATGGTGGCGTAGATCCCCGAAGCACAAATAAATTTTTAGGATCATATATAACATGACATGGACAGAAAGATTCAAAGCAAACGTTCGTTTTGTCAAAGCTTATATTGTCAAAAATTTACCCAATAAAAAAATTTCCCAAATGATTCACCATCTTAATTCTAACTTAAATACGAATGTTAGCAAATAAGATA